ATCTATCTATCTATCTATCTATCTATCTATCTATCTATCTATCTATCATCTATCTGTCTATCATCTACCTATCCATCATCTATCTATCTATCTATCTATCTATCTATCTATCTATCTATCTATCATCTATCTATCATCTATCTATCTATCTATCATCTATCTGTCTATCTATCTATCTATCTATCAATCAAGCAATCATTTATCTATCCATGGACGTGAATGTGCTTCCTGAGCATGAAATCAGAAAGGGGAGGACTGGAGAGGGGAAGTGGTGTAAGGAAGGAGGGAGGATAATGGCACACATGTGACGTGAAAACCGTTTCTGGGGGTGGAAGGGCTCAAGGAGAAGACAGGTTAATGGGGGAGAGTGGAAGATGGGTCAACAAAATGAGTTCTGTTTGAAAATGCCACGAAGAAATGTGGTCCAGAGATCATGGAGGACGGGTGCCAAACAGTGTTGTCTGGACATCACATGACCACTGCACTCCTCAACTCTCAAGTGACTATGATTGCCTGTGTTCACCCCCACCCATTCCTAGCAGAGGAACTATTAACTATTGATGAGGAGGTACTAACTATTGAAGCCTTCCTGGGGAGGAAAATTCAGGTTTCTCTAAGCCTCTGGTAGGCTGACTAGGTACCTATGGAAGGCCTATGAGTAGATGGGCATCACAAATTGAACTCAATGATTTATTTGGGGAAAAGAAAAAAGAGGACACAACTTTGGGAGGGGTGGAGAGGTAAGGGGTAGATCTGGGAGGCAGTGGCAGTGGGAGGAATATGTCCGAAATATATTGTATTAAATTTTCAAAGAATTAATAAAAATATTTTATTTTAAAAGAAACGTGATACTTTATATAATTTAATTTAAATACAAAGTTTAAATACAAAGAGTAATGGACAGGGAAGATTTCGGACCCTTCGTGATGCTCATCTGTGGACAGCAATGATGTGGCAGCTGGCGGCCGACAAGCCCCCAGACAGAGAGCTCCATAGCGACCGCGCCTCTCGAACCCGGACCTTTCTGCATTGTTTTTGCTACTGGTATTGAATTTTGTTTTCAAGGTGACGTCTTGCTAGGTAGGTCCGGCTGACCTCAAACTTGCAGTGAGCCCCCTACCCCTGCCTCCTGAGTGCTGGGATTGCAGGCATACACCCTCACACCAAGCTTTCTTTGAATTTTTCAAGTTGTGGATATTAAACTAGTAACTATCACAGGGCTCTTTCCTCCTTGCTCATATAGTAAGCTGAGCATGGTCTACTTATTCCAGCTGGTCAGGCGTTCTGTTGTAGTCAGACTACCGGGGTGGAGGAGGGGAGGAGAGGAGACAGTGTCTATTGTACATCTTGA